TTTTTTTTTTTTAGGAAATAAACATTTTATTAAACATATAAGCCATATCACTGCTCAAAAACATCAATCTAAAACAAAATGGACAATACTTAGTACTGCTGTTTCAGTAAATTAAGCAACCTAATTTTTTTTTGTTTGTTTTTTTTTTTTTTGGTACTAGGAATCAAACTAAAGACCTTGCACTTGCCAGGCAGGTGCTGTGCCACTGAGCTACATCCTTGGCCTGAAACTTCACTTTTGAGGGGTCTGGCCTATGGATGATCCTCGCTGAGGAATTAGAAATTATTCCTAAGCATACATCCACTTATTCCTAAGCATACATCCACTCAAACGAAGCCAGGAGAGCTGGATGGTGCACCTTTTTCTCACACATTAACCTGCATCAGGAACTTTTTATGGGTGAAGGAGCCTCCGACACAAAGGGATTGGAATTGATCCTTTCCCTTACACAAGAGTGAGAGTAGCTGTTTAACTATGGATGAGCAGGGTCTAAACCAGGGCCAGAAAATAAAGAACCTCTAAAAAAAGACTCACTGAAAAGAGAGAGGCTAAATCTAGACTGGTGACCTATCCTTAAGAGTAGGGCCATAGAAGGGTCTGGATGGTTGCAGGCACAAAATGCGGCAGGATCCGGTAGGTTTGCTTTAGGCACTATGGAAAAGCCTGGCAAAAATGGTACATGCAAAGCTGAACTAGAGCAGAACTCTTAGGACTTTGGGATTCCCTGACCAGATGCGTACTGAGGGAAGAAGATTTGTGCTGAAAGTATGGACTGAGATCCTTAGCCAGTAAGAGCTGGTCAACACCCGTCTCCCATCTCCTCAGCACAGCAAGCATGGCAGTGATGTGAGGGCCCCATGAACTCACTCTTGAGATGGCCCCTGTGGAATGCACCTGATGTGCCCTGTCGACTCCTAGCAGGTGGCATAGCAACCTCAGAAGTCCTGAATATTCTGGTGATGGTACCTGGGAATAAGACTTGCATTCCGGGTATTTTGGAAGGTGAGAGTTTGCAGCTATTATAATTTGAATGAACTCTTATCTGACATTGTAGAAATAGGAAGTTAGGGCTGGGTATATGAGTAGCCTATCAAACCAAGAAGGAGAGATGCAAACTTCTTTTATTCAAAATAATGAGTCAACATTTTGAGGAAGGTGAGTAGCAATTCTGATGTCATACAGTATTTCTCCTGGGTTTTAGAGGTAAAAACCATTCCTTCCACTCTGCTATTAAAAATGAACCAGACAACTTGGCTTTTAGGCTTCTACTTTTAAACAAATTACTACTTCCTGTGCAATCTGCCACTTTCATCAGCCATGATGACCATCCACGATGACCACTCAAAGAGCTGTGTACACACCTAAGTGAGGCTGCCCTGAACTCTTGGGGTACAGCAGTGACAAAGGTAACCAAGAAGAGAATCTCTCCACCCACACCCGAGAGGATGCAGAACTAAGATGGCACAGATACTGTTCCTTCTATTACACATTTCTTCCCTTCAAGAAGGGAAGCCATGTCCCTTAGGATTTGTTTGATAATTCAGAGAGCTTATTCACATAAACTATTAAAACTTACTAGCTTTTAATCCACCCATATGAACTCCTAAGGACTAATGAGGGCTGATCTGCATTTATTTACATCACCCGCTCACAGGAAGCAAAGAGGGGAGTGAAGTCGCAGATTTAGTGATGGTTCTCAATGAGGCTTCCCAATAGATTTGGCCCTCAGGAGCCTTCTTCATCTCTAAGCCATGCTGTGGATGAATTTTGCTGAGAGAAAACAATATATCTTCATCACATTTTCATTTTCTGGTATTTCCTGAAGCTTTTCTGAGCCTAATACTGTAGAGAGGGAGACACACAACACTTGCACATTTAATGGAAATGGACTCCGAAGCTTTTTGGTGGCTTGCTTCTGGAACTCTGTCAGCAACCTATTTCCACTGGGTTAGTATCAAGGTAGTCCAGACTGAACTCTGAAGTCTAGCATGCAAGAAGTTGAAACTCCACATTGAGTACAGTTAGATGGAGAATATTTGGTAAATGGCAAAGCCAAGAGTAAGGCATAGCACTGGGTACCTACTTACTCTAATTTGGCTTCAGTTTCCTAGTCTGTGAAACTGAAATATTGTATGTCCATTTCCTGGAATAGTTGGTATAAAAGAAAAGAATATAACAAATATGCAAAGTACTCAGTAAGACGCCTGACGCCTAATATAGAGTTTATGGGGTAGGTAAGTTCAGACGCTGAGTCTCACTGAAATGAGAGGCTGGCCCACTGTCTCCCACCTATGTCTCAGAGTGGTAATTCCTTCCTCGTAATGTCCAGTTACCTGCTTCCTCTGTTACATTAGAAATCTCCTGACTACCACACCTGTGCTTTACAGTAAGCCCTCAATGTGTGGTGCATTCACAAATGAGCCAAAACAGATTAGCAATATACCAAGAACAGATCCCTCTCTTACAAGGAGACACAGGTCACCCAAGCCTGTAAGACTGATGTAAAAAATCCAAAGGAACAATTAGTAAGTCTATGACGAGACGTGATGGTCATGAGAATTAGAAAAACTAAAGTCTCATACTCAATTCAATTCTCCCAGGTTGGCCTATGAAGAAATTCAAGTGGCTATGTGATACTGTATCTGGCAAGCACCAATCCACCCACCAGAGTTGGATGAAATAAGAATCCTATGGGCTAGCATAGCCCGGTGCACCCAATCTCACAAAGGGGTAGATGTTTCTACAGAGACCAACTCCTCAGT